TGTGTGTGTGTGTGTGTGTGTGTGTGTGTGTCTGTCTGTTTGTCTGTCTGTCTGATATTCTGTCTGTCTGTCTGTGTGTCAGATGTTGTGGAGGAGTGCGTGTCTGTGCTGCCGGAGCAGGTGTCAGCGCTGGAGGAGTTTATTCCCAGCCGTCAGACGAGCGTGACGCTGATGAGAGCGACAGTCTCTGTCCCTGCAGCAGAATACAACCTCCTGCACCTCTTACTTGCTGTTCTACTGGGACACAAGGTGCAAACGACACACACACTCTTTCCTCATATACCTGCCTCCCCTGTGTGTGTGTGTATCTGTGTTGGTACTACTGCGTGTTAGGGATGCACCGAAATGAAAATTCTTGGCCGAAGCCGAACAAAATGAAACACTGGGCCGAAGGCCGAATACTGTTTTTCACGTTTTCCCCCCCATTTTGCCAATTTTTTTCACCATTGCATAAATTAAATAGCCAAAATGTGCTTTTTACTGTTTTGTCTTGCTTTTCAAAGAAAAAAATAATTTACAAAACAACAATTTAAAAATATTTATTTAACCCTGAACATTTTTTTTAGCATTCTAGCAGACATTATACCAATAAAACACAACTTAACTTAATATTTTTGGCCATTTTTTAGACCCCCTTCTTGAATCAGGCATGTATTGTATAGCTGAGCAGAAGAGACTTCTTTTAAATCATTAGAAAATATTATAGATCCTAGTCTGAACACTGTGTAAATGTTACAATAAATGTTTTAATAGAGCTGTTGTAATTATTATTTTCATTATTATTTTAGTTGTTTATTTTATTTTACAGAGCAACAGTGAAATTACAATAATAACATTTATTAATGTTGACGGAGTTCTTGCTTTTTTTCAACTTTTATCTTGGCAGAAAATTAAAACATCTGTTGACCTGCGTTAATTATGTAGAATGTATATTCAAAAGATCAGTGTCACTTTGAATGTCTGCTAACGTTTCAGTCTGGTACTGTCCTGAACACACTTCTAAAAACTCTCTCAAGTCTTTGAGCCTCAGGCTGGTCTGACTGTAATTAACTCAGAGGGGGGGTTTCAGCCGCTCATTCCCATAATTCCTTCTTTCAGTACTGCTCTCTATGGGAAGCAGCTCCGTTTGCCTGCATACTGGTGAGACACACACACACACACAGTTACACACACACACGGTGGGTAAAGCGCTTAGATGAGTGTGTCAGT